CGAACGTGAGCGGGGAGCGCGTTCGCGTAGAAGGAAGGTAAGGCTGAGGGGTGGCAAGCATTTGCTCAACGCGGTCGCGAGGACTGGACCACGATCGCGTAGCTTTGAGCAGTTGTTCATCTCGTACGCGACTGGAATGTCGCGTTCGCGAAGAGGTTTTCGCATCTGGGCATTTTGTTCTTCGCAATCGCGATGCTATTTTCGCGATCGTGATGTATAACACCCGGGAAGACTATATAGTACTCTATTTCGAGGGTTTGAGTTATTATATCATATTTGGAGTTAGAGAGCTCTGTTTTGGGTGATTTTGGAGGATAATTTCATGCTTTGGATTGGGGTAGTATTTTTTTACTTGGATTTGTCAATTATTCATCATTGTGACGGCCCGATAGATCATTTTTGAGTACTATTCCTTATTTTAGCGTTCCGAGACCTCCACTAGATTCATTTGGTAATTCTTGATTTGCATGCGTGGTTCGTGTATTTTTGCATAAATTTTTTACGTAAAAATTTGAAGAAAATATGATTTTAGGCTTTAAAAATAACTTGAGTTGACTACGGTCAACATTTTGGGTAAATAACCATGGATCGGTGTTTTGACAATTTTGGTAGGTCCGTATTGTGATTTTGGACTTGGGCGTATGTCCGGAATTAAATTCAGAGGTCCCTAGGTTGATTTGACTTGTTTTGCCGAAAGTTAGCAATTTGAATGTTTGAAAATTTCCTAGGTTTGACTGTAGGTTGAATTTATTGTTATCAGGTTCGGATTTTGGTTTTGGGACTTGGAATGAGTCCGTATTTCTATTTGAAAATTTTCTGTAAAATTTGGTGCAATTCGAAGTCGGTTTGATAGGATCCGGACGCTTGGTTGTGATTCTAGAGGTTCTTGAGTTTTCTTTCGAAATTCATGCATTTTAATATATGATTCGTGGTTCTAGATGTTATTTTGGTATTTTGATCATGCGGACGAGTTTATATGATGTTATTACACTTAAGTGTATGTTAGGTTTGGAGCCCGAGGTGCTCGGGTGAGTTTCGGATAGGATTCAGACCATTTTTTTTAACTTGTGCAATTGCTGGTTTTCTGTTGCTGGTGTCCAATGCTTCGCGATCGTGAAGCTTCTCCCGCGGCCGCGAAGGGAAAGTTTGGGGCTTAGGCTGGTTACTCACCACGAACGCGATAGGAGGCTCGCGAACGCGATGGATTGGGGGGACTGCCTTTCGCGAACGCGACAGACCACTCATGAACGCGTAGAGTTGGGATGGCGGGGGAGGCAAGTGATGGTTTCTTTTTGCGAACGCGGACCAAGGTTTGTGAACGCGATGGCTAGTTGGGAACTTAGACTTCGCGAACGCAAAGAGAATCTCACAAACACAAAGGCCATTTGGCCAGTGCTCTTCGCGAAAGCGTCAGGTGCTTCGCGAATGCGAAGAACACCTGGCGCCCATGTATTTAAAGTACTGAAACTCGGGATTTGACCATTTTCCACCTTTTTTAAAGCTAGAACTCGGTCTAGAGGCGATTTTGAAGAGATTTTTTATCTCTACTTCATTGGTTAGTGAATTTTAACTGTTTTTGTTATATTTTCATAATCACCCATTGATTTTAACCTTTAATCTAGGACTTCAATGGTAGAAATTAGAGATTTGGGTAGAAATTGAAGATTTTGTAAAATTGAGATTTAGACCTCAAATTGAGGTCTGATTTCGAAACAAATCACATAACCGGGCTCGGGGATGAATGGGTAATCAGATTTTGGTCTGAATCTCGGGTTTTGACCAAGCGGTCGAGGTTGACTGTTGTTGACTTTTTCCAAATTCATTAAAGATTGAATCTTTTGTGCTCGTGAGTAGAAAAGATTGTTGACTTTTCATTAAAGATTGAATGGGTAATCAGATTTTGGTCTGAATCTCGGGTTTTGACCAAGTGGTCGGGGTTGACTGTTGTTGACTTTTTTCAAATTCATTAAAGATTGAATCTTTTTTACGAGTGAGTTGATTCTAAAGCTTATTTTGAATTATTTGAACCATATTAGGATAGATTTGATTGGTTTGGAGGATAATTCTAAAGGAAAGGCTGTGGTTGAGTGCTGGTTTGATTGCAGAAAGAGGTAAGTGTTGTGTCTAACCTTGACTTGAGGGAATTAGAATTTTTTGGACTATTTTCTATATGAATTGTGTGGAGAAACGGTATATATGCAAGGTGCCAAGTGTATATATGCCTTCATGGGGATCCAAGCATGCGAGATTGGGCTATTTACTTCCACGTATTCTTTTACTCTATGTTATATCTTGTTACATGCTTTAGTGGCTACATGTTCTTACTTGTTATTTGTTGTTTATCTGTTACTTGTTTCAATTATACATTTCTCATCCAATATCTGTTCACTTGCTACATGCTTCTAAATAAATAATTGTACATTTTCGTTATCTCATGTTCTACTTGCTTTTACCGTTCTTATATTACTTGAAGTACTTTATTTTGTTATTCCGTTCATATGAGCCATCTAGCTATTTTGGTACTATTGTTTTGCCAAGATTTGTGATTTCGAAGTATTGATTATTCTCTGTTTGTTTGGTAGTTCCTTATTGTTCTGTATGTTTCATTTCTCCTTTATATTGATAATTCGTAAATATTGGAGTTGAATTATTTATGTTAATGAGTTAAAATTATTGGGATCGGATTGCGCGCCAACGGTATTGAAATGAATTGATATGGTAGGATCGGTTTTCACGCCGCAACGATATTGAAATAATATGATATGAAGAGATAAGGACAGAATATGATATGAACAGATGATGATACGGTAAGATCGGGTTACGCGCTGCAACGGATTTGAGATATCATTGTTGTTGTGGCTATAGAGATAGTTCTCGGTATTGTGTTATGAGATTTGAAATTATGTTATTCTGGGCCCTCTAGTAGTTGACCTACGGGTCCGGTTATATGAGTTGTTGCTTTAATTCTATTTTTGTATTCTGTTATTATCTTTCATACAAGTTTATTGTGAGTGTCTTGTCATAGCCTCGTCACTACTTCGTCGAGGTTAGGCTCGCACTTACAGAGTACATATGGTCGGTTGTACTCATGCTATACTTCTGCACTTCTTGTGCAGATACCAGAGTTGGTCCCAGTAGCGTATAGAGGAGATCTTGCCTGGACCGGCTATCAGCAGGAGACTTGAGGTACAGCTGCTGGCGTTCACAGTCCCTGAAGTCCCCTTCTAACCTGCCTTTACTGTTCACTTTATTTCACAGTTTTATTTTGTTCAGACTTTATCTGTAGTACTCTAAATGATCATGTATTCGTGACTCCAGATTGAGATATGTCTAGTTTATGCCACATGGTATTTATCATATCTATTTCAAACAATCACAGTTTATTTTTATTAATGTTTTGATTGAAATTGTTGAAACTGGTTAAGTAATTAGCTAAAGTTGGCTTGCCTAGCAAGTGAAATATTAGGCATTATCATGGCCCTTAGGTTGGAATTTCGGATCGTGACAAGTTGGTATCAGAGCACTAGGTTGCCTAGGACTCACGAGTCATCAGCAAGCTTAGTAGAGTCTGGAGGATCGGTACGGAGACGTCTGTACTTATCTTCTAGGGGCTATAGAGCTTTAGGAAAATTTCACTTCTTTCTTCCTCTATCGTGCAATTTTTTTCTTTTACTAAAGTTTGAATCATTCTATTCTTGCTCTCTCGCAGATGGTGGGGACAAGCACAACATCTACAGCCGGGCAGGAGACAGAGCCCCCTATTGTAGCCACTACCAGGGTAGGATCGGGGCCGAGGTAGGGGCCTAGGTAGAGGTAGATCTCAGTCTAGAGCACGTGCAACAACACCCATTGCAGAGCCTCAAATCGAGCAGGAGGAGGAGATCCCTATTCAGACCGCACTAGTCGGACCCGCTCAGGTCCCAGAGGGATTTATTGCTATTCCCATACTTCAAGACGCTTTACTCCATTTGGTAGGCCTTATGGAGAGTGTTTCCTATGGCACTAGCTGTCTCTCAGGCTTGGGGAGGAGCCCAGACTCCCTTCTAACCGCACTCCGGAGTAGATGGATCCCATGTACCAGACTTCAGCGATTCCAGCAGTTGGTCTAGTTCAGCCCGTTGTTGCTACATAGACCGGGGAGAGGCCCACGATGTATTTTGAGGGATTGATGAGGTTGGATAAGTTCACAAAGCTCTTTCCTATTCATTTTGGTGGTACACCTTCTGAGGACCCACATGATTATTTGGATTGTTGCCTCGAGGTCACAACATGGATATTGTGGAGTCCAATGAAGTCGACTTTGCAGTGTTTCAGATGATCGATTTTTTCAGAAGGTAGTGGCAGGACTATGAGCGAGGCAGACCTGCCACTCACTTAGGATCAATTTTTGCAGCTATTTTTGGAGAACTTCATTCCTTCCACTCTGAGAGAGGAGTACCGCAGGCAGTTTGAGCGCCTTCAGCGGAGTAGCATGATTGTTACCCAACATGAGACCAGATTCGTAGATTTGGCTCGCCATGCAATAGTCTTGCTTCCTACTGAGATGATATTGCTTTTTAGCGGGCAGTAGAGACTGTTAGACGAATCGAGATGATTCGTGGTCAGGGTAGAGAGGCAGTATCTGAGAAGAGGGCTCGTCATTTTGGTGCTTTTAGTCGTGCCTCATCTAGAGGTAGAGGCCATCCTCTCATGCCAATTCAATCAGCACTTCAGGTAGCACATGGTGCCTCGGGCAGTCGTGGTTCTTATTGTCACATCCCAAAATACCCCCTAGCGTGATTGGCACCCAGCTAACACTACGTGCCAGGCGAACCAACTTATACTATATGCATAGCATTTATTCAAACCGTAACCGAAATAGATATAAGTTCCAACATTTCGATAATTAAATGCAAATAATTAATGATCCAAATTATTCCATAAATATTTATAAATAATAACTACCAAAATGGAAGAACAACACTCTAGCCCAAATATCACTCTAGATCATGGAGCATCTAAGAGAATTACAAAAGAGATTACAGCATCCGGGACAATGTGGCGGCTCACCTTAATAACTGAATCAACTCACGTACTCTTCAACCACTAGTCTCGTCCTCAGCAATAGTATCTACATGGTCATGCAGGTAAGGAGTGAGTTATACGTAAATATAACCCAATAATATCTACCCCCTACTTTAAATACTCCTAGAACAAATGTTGGAAAATACAAACACACAACAAGCACAATATGCACATGTCACGATCCCAATTTCCCTCTGTAGGATGTCGTGACGGTAAAGACTAGGTAAGCTTAACGAATATGCGGAATAACTGAAATATTTAAGTAAACTCAAACGTCAATAGCTGTAATAAATAAAACTGCAACTCAAGTTTCATACAACTCCCAACCTGGTAGATATGAGTCACCAGCTCTAAAGAGAAATACTAAATATATCTATACATCATAGTCTAATGAAGATAAAGAAAACAACATAACAAAGATAGAGGGGGACTCCGAGGTTTGCGGACGCTAACAAATATACCTTAAAGTCTCCACGTACGAACTAGCTCACTGATATCTGGTCTGGTAGGAAGTACCTGGATCTGCACAAAAAGATGTGCACAAGAGTAGTATGAGTACACCACAACAGTACCCAATAAGTGCCAAGCCTAACCTCGGTAGGGTAGTGACGAGGTCAGGTCGGGGACCTACTGGAAATAATAAGATATAACGACATAATAAAATGACAGAGAAGTATAACAGTAGAAATTCACAGAAGGAGACAACACGGAATCAAGGAGACAATTACAACGCGTAAGAAAACAAGAATCTTACAAGTTAAGGAACAACAACAACATCAACAACAACAATACAGCAAATAGAGGAAAAACAACAGGGGCACTCCCGAGGTACTGCCTCGTAGTCCCAAAAGTAAATATCTCACAACGGCACGGCAGAAACCTCGTGCAAACAATAAACATCACATGGCAAAAATCTCGTGCCTCAGTAACAATCCGCACGGCGGAAATCTCGTGCCACAATAACAATCTACATGGCAGAAACCTCGTGCCATAATAACAACTCGCACGGCAAAAACCTCGTGCCACAATAACAACTCGCACGGCAGAAACCTCATGCCACAATAAAACTCCGCACGGTAGAAACCTCGTGCCACAATAACAACTCGCTCGGCAGAAACCTCGTGCCAAAACTAATCAGTCATCTCAACAATAATCACGAAAACCAACACATAACAAATGAAATATTACAAGCAGGGAATCCTACAGTTAATGAATGAATACGGAATCAAGGAAGCTGGTAATTCAACTAAGCATGTCGTACAAATTGCAAATAAGAGAGAAGACACGTAGACATGTGGAATTAGGCTAAACATGATGATTACACAAGCTAAAATAAAAAGAAAACTACTTAGTAAAAATCGGATTTTCAATATTTAGCCCGAGTACGCACTCGTCACCTCGCGTACACGGCCTCCACGTATTGCAAATAACCATAACAGTACCAAATCCTAAGGGGAAACTCCCTCCGCACAAGGTTAGACAAGTCACTTACCTCAAGCCTCGCTGAATCAATCAATAAAAATGCCTTTGCCTCGACTTTCCAACTTCGAGCGGCCCAAATCTAGCCAAAACCAATTGCATACTATAAATATAGCTATAAGAAACTAATCTAAATAATAAAATTATGAATTTTGCAAAGAATCAGAAAATCGCCCCAAAAAGTCAACGCGGGCCCACGTCTCGAAATCGGGTAAAAGTCACGAAATCCAAACACCCATTCAACCACGAGTCCACCCAAACCAAAATTACTCAAATCCGATACAAAAATCTCGATCAAAACCTCGAAATTTGGCCTAAGAACTTTCCTCCATTTTCCCTCAATTTTCCACCCCAAATCACTAATTACATGATGAAATCAAAGATATAAATATGAAATTTAACCAAAAACTGAGTGAGAATCACTTACTCCAATCAACTTCTTGAAAATCTCTTCAAGAATCGCCAAAATCCGAGGTCTCTAGCTCAAAATATGAAAAATGGAAATTAATACTGCTGCCCAGGTATTTCTTCTTCGCGAACGCGGAAGTTGCCTCGCGTTCGGGAAGCATAAAAATGTACTGCCTAAAGAACCTCTTACGCGAACGCGAGGGCCCACTCGCGAACGCGTAGGCCAAGCGTGAGGTCGACCCCAGTCTGCATTCTTCGCGAACGCGAATGGCAATTTTCAGAAACACTCAAACTCCTCTACGCCAACGCGGGAGCACCTTCGCGAACGCGTAGAAGGAACCCAGAAACACCAGATTTCAGCAATCCTAATATTCTGAAATGCCCCGAACATGGTCTGAATCACTCCCGAGGCCCTCGGGACCTCAACCAATAATACCAACAAGCCTAAACCTCATACGAACTTAGTCGAGCCCTCATATCACATCAAACAACGCTAAAACCACGAATCGCACCCCAATTCAAGCTTAATGAACTTATAACATTTAACTTCCACATCCGATGCCGAAACCTATCAAATCAAGTCTGATTGACCTCAAATTTTGCATACAAGTCATAATTGACATTACGGACCTATTCTAACTTTCGATTTCGGTATTCGACCGCGATATCAAAAAATTCACTCCCAGTCAAATTTTCAAAAATCATCCAACTTTCCATTTTTCGCCAATTAACAGCGAAATGACCTACGGGCCTCCAAATCAACATCCGAACACGCTCCTAAGACCAAAATCACCATACGGAACTATTGGAACCGACGAAACTCCATTCCGGAGTCGTCTTCACACAAGTCAAATAACGGTGAACTCTTATAACTTAAACTTCAAACTTAGGGACTATGTGTCCCATTTCACTCCGAAACTCACCCGAACCCGACACCAAGCACCCCAGTGAGTCAAGTGACCACAAAATAAAATAGAGGGAGCAATAAATAGGAGATCGGAGCTCATACTCTCAAAACGACTGGTCGGGTCGTTACAGCACATAGGTTATATCACCATCTAATACTCAATAAGTTCCAAATAAATATTCAACAACAATACTATATATCTAAGCATAATCTATACTAAGGATTTGTCATAAACAGCAGTGCAGAAAATTAACCAAACACCCCAACAAGCCCACGACAGCATAAACAATGCTCCAAATTTATCACGACAGCATATTCAATGCCCCAAATATGTTACGGCAGCGAAGAAATAATTTCTAACGCCCCAACGCCATAGCACGATGCGACGCCTCACCACAAATCACTTACTAAATAATTTCAGTTTTTTTACAAAATTATATATATATGCGGTTGGTCAAAGACCACCGATTCTGCCAAGCACACGCTCCAACACATAGACCAGGCAGACAAAACATACTTTTAAAACGGGTTTGAAAAGCAAGCACCAAAACTTAAAATCTCGCTTACCTCGCTAATAGCAAGTTTCGCGACATCCAAAACACCAACATAACGGTCCCAACGACCTCAGCCTTGAATATAAATTAAGGATGTTTATGAGTCGCGATTGATCATGTCACTGTATTCTCTTGAACTTGTTAATTGAGAACTTTCCATCTCCCAAATCTTTTAGCTGCTACTGTGCTACTTCTAAAATAACATCCAGCTGTTTCTTTGTTTAATCCTTCCTCAAGATTCTCTCTTGTTACTACGGCGAATGAAACAATGAATATTACATCTCTATAATCTTTCGGCACTTCCTGTTATTGTGTTTAGAGCCAATCAGTTACGTACTTCGATTTCATTGTTGCCTACTGCTGGAAATAAATGGATTCAACTTTGATTAGAACTCTTCAAAATCCTTGTAGGATCCCTAGCCATTGCCTTTCTATCATGGCCCACTTACTTTATTAATATAACGCCAAATCCAATTTCCTCTTGGGTGTGAATTGCTGATTTTTTTCCGTAAAGTAAGTTTGAATTTTGGGAAACTTACACAAATGTTCCAGATAAGTCTCAAACTTACCAACCTCTAGCTATTAGTCATAGACTTACCAAAACTAGCCAAACACATATAAAAATTGAAAAACCAAATAAATAAGGTTCTTTCTCTCAAAGAATCTCATGCAAAAATCTCCTTCCATATTTTTGAGCATGATTAGCAATACTAGATGCAAGACGGAAAGGAAATTCCATGGATGGGGTAACAAATAATGTGATGAAATATAAAAAAAAATAAAAATATAATATCCCAAAAATCTAATCAAAAAATGAACTTTTTCAATGGGTATAGTTGAAATTCATTGAAAATATATAGATAAGTCAATATACAAAATTTGAGGAAGATTGGAGGCGATTTGGACTAGTTTTGGATCAAAATTCATAATTAAATCGAGTTCAAAAAATTCTTCAGCAACACATGTATCACACATGTATCTCACACACAGGTATACATGGATATACATGTGATACACAATTGATGCGAAGATGATACATATGTGATACACAAATAATACCCAGTGTGATACACATATCATTTTTTTTTCATGTTCAGTTTTTACTTCGAATTTTCAGTTCAAACCACCTCAAAACTTCACCAAATCATCCCAAAACTGAGATTCAAGCTCCTTAAGATGTACCCAATCTATTCTAACAACACCCACTCAAAAGAAAGAAAAAATTTGATCTTTTTTGTTATAAATAGTTATTTGGCTAATATTAGTAATATTTGGCTAATATTAGCAATATTTTATGAATTGGCCAATTTTTATAATGAGCTACTTATAATTGAACATAGCTGATAGTTTCCCTAAATCTCACTTTATACCCATTAAATTCAAACTATTTACCCTTAAATACTCATACCTAAACTATTTACTTTTTCTACATATGCAATCAATACTATTTACCCGCCCAAATGATTTCCTTATTTAATGTATGTAAAAACTCCTAAAATTTAGAATTTTGAATGCAAACAAAGAATTTGCTATTTTTTCTCTCCTGACATTAAGAACACGATTTTTCTTCTTTTAAATTTTTTGTCTACTTCTTTTTTTGTTAGAGAGTGTTAATAATAAATTTAATGAAATCATGTTAGAATAATTTTACAAGTTAAAGATGTATATAATTAAAGTAATAAATATGTATTCCATGTTGGATATAATGAAGTTATGGATAATATTTTAAATATTTAATATCATAGTTAATTTTTAAATTTTGAATGTGCTAATATCTTGAACTCTGAGTTCAACTATAAACAGTTGAACTTCTATGGTGATAGAGTAAAAAACTCTTTACACTAACTAAAAGAAAAGATAACTATACATAAGTATTCTTGCATAAGAAGCCATATAAGTAATTCGGAAAATAGGCAAGTAACATGCTACTAATGTATACTTTTAAGTTAGGAAAATCAAAATATACCTGATCTCGGACAATATACTGATTAAACATTGAACGTGGATTTTATGATGTATAAATATTGTAGAAGCCATGATGCACCAAACAAAGGTGTTCAATATGTGTTATATAACTCTAAACGTAATATTTTACCTAAATACACATTGTAATTTTTCGACGAAAGGTGGTCCATTGACCACCCATATGACCATGTGGCTTCGCCACTGATCCAACCTCATATATTGTCTATATTTTGTAAACCTTGCAGTATAGTCAATCTAGAGCATTGATTGACTGGCTGGTAATGCTTTAATAGTTTGTTAATCAATCATTTGTAGAATATTCTGTGAATTTGAGTCACTATCTGTTAATGTTATGTGAAATTGAAGTCATATTGACCACTCTTTCTCCTCAGCAGCCAGCGCACAAAAAGATTGTCCTTTCCGCCACGCTATTGAAGTCCCCGCATTAAACAGGTGCCAATTAAAGGATCTAAGATATGGATTTCAATACCACGGACCTTGAAGCTTGAAACTCATAACTTGGTTTGTTTGAGTTTTAATTGTTTTCATCCGATCCTATATGGGTTAGTTTGGAAAGTTGATTGGAGGTTGTAGCTAAAGTTTCAGTCAATTTGGTGGAGATTTTGTAGTAAATTTTAGAAATTTGGGTTGAAATATAGTTGAACCAGAGAAGAAGACGAATTTGTATTGTATACCCAAATAGTATACAAATATACCATTTTAGTATACAATTCATTCCAACTATATACCCTATTAGTATAGCTATATACTATATTGGTATCATATGCTAGTTGAATTATTTTTTGATTGTATTAGATGCATTTAAATGGTACAAGATTTGATTTTCTTTTAATAATAGTGATATAGTACAATATCTTGAAATACCTTATTATATTAATATGTGGTACACTATTTTTTTATTTTTCTCTTTATGCATGTGTGTTATGTAATAGTAGTATAGTCATATAGTTGCCGGGAATTAACTAGTAAAACTGTATACCATATTGGTATAGTTATATACCATATTGGTATCATATGGTAGTTTGAACATTGTTTTGGTTATTTTAGCTGCATTTTAAGCGAATTCTATTATGAAATTATTTATATCAACATGAGTTGCAATAATGCTGGAATTTTTGTGTGCCGATGGACATAAATTGTGTGTATTAATAGTTTTTATAGTTATAGGCAATTGTTGGAACGACCTCATACAACTATATACCTTCTTAGTATACGAAATGAGCAAGTTGTTTTGCGAATATTTAGCTTGCAATACGAGCATGTAATTTTCTCATACTTTTATTGCGTCCTTTAATGTTTTGGTAGAGTAGTATAGTCGCAGATAGTTGTAGAAATCATATGCTCTGTTGGTATACATATATACTATATTGGTATCACATGGTACTAGAAGTCTTTTTCGCTACTTATACTTTTGTTGTATTTTTTAATATTTTATTATCATTTTTATTCTAACTAGTATATATGGAGATTTGGTTGCCGTAGATTATGTTTTCTTGCTCTATAACTGGTTGTATTACTGCTAATGGTAGAGTGTGTATTGATATTTATAGGGAAGGAGATCAAGGTTTGCATGGCAACCATGTGTTGATTCTTAGAATTTGATTATGTAATTTATGGTGCTCAACAGCAGTCAATGTGATATCCAGTGTATTAGATCAAGTGACAACTAATATTATTTCAGTTTATAATTGAATTTAAAAAATGAGAAAAAAGGTATATTGTACTAGTTATATTAAAAAAAGGTGAACAAATATTTACTATATCAATTATTTTTCTTATTGTATAAAAAAAGAATAATAAAAAATAGTAAAAATGGTAAATTAAATTAGATTACGAAGAGAAAAAGAATATAAAAAAATAAGAAGTTAAATGAAATTAGAAAAGGAAAAAAGAAAAAAAGAAAAAGAAAACAAGAAAAAAGAAAAGCAGAAAAGAAAAAAAAAAAGAAAAAAAAGAAAAGAAGCATAGAAATAAAAAAGAATTAGAGAATAAAGAAAAAATTTCCCACAAAAACTACTATGGGTAGGAAATGTAATTAGTTTATGGGTAGAAAAACAAATAGATAGACAAGGGTAAATAGTTTTATTTTTATGGGTAGCTGTGTCAAAACCCCATTTTTCTAACTCAACCTTCTGCCCGTAATATGTATTTATTAGTAGGCTTGGCCCACTAACCACTCATTATATATCACAATTCTAATTACTAAGCATTACATATATATGAGTAAGATATGAATTTTTATATATCAAATACTTTATTCGAATATATTCTATAAACACATTAACATATATATAGACATATACTTTTTGTATATATATGTATAAACATCATAATGTTAATATTAAAATAAAAATGGCCCAATAGATGTACGGCCCCTTAAACTTGGCTCCAGTTTCCAATTTGACACTTTAACTTAGCCCTTTTCCTATTGAACACTTTAATATTATATAAAGTGGATCTATTGAACACTTTACTCATCACCAGTAAAAATAATAAGGTGCGTGTAATTCACACATGAATGACTTGGTAAAATGACAAATAAGAGGGAGACACGTGGCATTTGGGCCCAAATAGTCAAAAAGAAGTTTTGAAAACGAAAATGATTTCTTTTATACATAAATTCCTCCAACAATTTCATCGTCTTCTCCGCATTTCCCCACCGGTTCTATTGCCTCCCACCAATAGCCGCCATGGACACTATCTTCTCCAGTTAAACCGAGAAGCAAAATGATCATACTGTCAATCTCATATTCCTAAAACATCAATCTAAAAGAAACTTCCAAGCATTCAAGCATGGCGTTAGAAGAATCCGAGATCCAATCTATTGAACGAATCTCAAGAGGAAGAAGACAACAATTAAGGTAAAATTTCTCCAAAAAAGAAGCCGTAAAGCTCGAGCCAAAAACACCACCGTCAAGAGGCGACTGCAGTTGCCGCCACCACTGCTATCTCTGCTGTCTTGGGCTTTACGGTGCAGTTCATTTTGACTGTCTCAGGCCATCTGCTCACAATTTAACTAATGAATTTCACGATGCAGTTTATTTTTTCATTAAAATTACTAAAATGGGCATTTAATCTGTAGCCGTCGCTGCTAAATTTCACAGTGTTTTCGTGGCGTGAGGGAGTTTTCTGGTCGGTGTGAGGAAATGATGGTGGGGATGGTGGCTCAGAGAGGAGGAAGAAGAAAAATGTAAAACTATGCTTTTCTTAAATAAACAAAAGAAAAAAAATATGATTTTGGTATTACTTCACGCATCTAAAGAGAGGTGAGACACACTCTTTTTGCCACATCATCAGACGTGTTCAATCATAATTAATATGAT